TCTGGTGTGTGAAAGACTCATAGTGATATACTTTATAAGCAGAGTAGTGTGGTTCTTTAAAATACACCAGAGGGGCCGGGGAGATGGCTCAGTAGAATAAGCGCTTCCCTGGCAAGCGCAAGGGCCTGAGTTCAATCCCTGGTACTACCAAAAAAAATTTAAAAATAAAATTCTCCAGGGCCAGGGATATAGCTCAGTGGCACAATACCTGCCTGGCAAGTGGGAGGTCCTGAGTTCGATCCCTAGAACCAAACCAAAATAAAATGAAACAAACAAACAAACTCAAACGCAATAAAACAGCCACACTGCTACCCTGTGAGCGCTGCCCACTCCCCAGATAGCACTTGTCAGTACCTACTACACGGGTCTGTAACTTGTGCATCCCCATTGGGTGACCCTGTGTGGCTCACCCTAGAAGGCGCCTGACCCAAGCCAGGTGCTGACTGCAGGGGCGCCAGGTGAGTGGAAGCATAGCCTCCTGACCTCCTCGTACCCCCTCCCCAATCTCCCCAACCCAGGTGTAGACGCAGAAGTCACTGAAGCCACAAATCCAGCGCTAGCTCACCCCACCCTCCCAATGGACCACTGTATGTGTCCAAACACCCTTCTCACTGATCCTCCAAACAGCCTGCCTCCACAAAAACCACAGGCCACATGTGGCCAAGCCACCAGGGCCCTTCCCAGAGGCACCTGATCCAGCAGGAAGAGTGGTACTGAGTCCTGCACACCTCACCCCAGCACAGATGACCTCCTGCCCCGCTGGAGTCCTACCACCTTTTCCCTCCTTCCTTCCAGCTTTGGCGCATATGCACAGCCAAGCACCTTTAGAAACAGAACCTTAGCGGGTGAGCAGCTGCCCAGCTTGGACTACGTTTCCCAAACTCCTTTGCAGCTGCACATGTGGAATAGGGGGTGTTAAATCTTGGTCCCTCACCTTGCACAGGAGAGCATACATCCTCATGTGTGACAATACTTTAAGGGCTAAAGAAGTAATAGCATGGAAGGAACCTAAGGCCCTCCTGACCTGACACAGCACAGCTGCCTACCTGACTGGAAATGACAGTGTAATTGTAGATCTTTTTGTTATAGCAGCTTAATGTGTACCCTTACACACTGACTCTGCATGGCAAAGACTTCCTGCGTGACAGAACCTCTGGTTCTACCTGGGTACATATGGCCAACTATAGACTACATTTCCCAGCTTCCTTTGCAGCTAGTTAGGCATGTGATTAGTTCTGACCAATGGGATTTGAGCAGGGTGTGTCAGCTACAGGAAGTGACCTTAAAGAGGACCGTTAAGCCTTTCTTCATCCCTTTTTCTTCCTTGCTGTCTGGAATGAGAAAATAGTGGCTTCCTCTCCAGCTTCTATCTGGGGCCATATGATGATATTGGGAGTGGAAATATTCATAGCAGGACTTCTAGGAAGCTGGGGCAGGAGGCTTTAAAAGTGACTCCAAGCCCTGTAAGGTGAATGGAAAATTAGGCCAGCATCTTCTTACAGAGCTGGAGTGAAATGTTAGAGGATTTCATCTGGACTGCCCGGCCCTGATCACTACTGGCACCAGGCATTTCCAAAGGCGCCCGCCACCCACGGTGACCGAGGACATTCTCCTGCCTTCCTCTGATGCACACCCACCCTTGCCAGGAGGGCACAGCAAGTATGTCTTTTGCTGTTCTGCCCAGGACAAGCAGCCAGGGCCCCCAGAAGATACAGGGATCTCAGGAGCAGACTGCCCTCGTTTTGCAGAAGGCGCCAACCTGGGCAGCTCGATGCTGGGCAGATGAGAGAGGCCACCCATGAAAAGGGCCTCTCTTTTTGTTCTTGGACAGAGGGTGCTAAAGGATGGAAACCAGGGAGCGGAGCTACATTCCAGCCCTTTTTAATTTAGGTTGATTGATTGATTGCAGCATTGGAGATTGGAACTAGGGCCTGCCCTTTCCTCCTCCTCTTCCTCCTCTTCTTCTATACCAGGAATCAAACTCATGACTTTCACTTGCCAGGCAGGCGCTGCGTTGCTCAGCTATATCCCTGGCCCTCCCTTCTATTTTTTGAGACAGGGTCTTGCTGAATCACTGAGCTGCCCAGCCCAGACGTGTGTGGGCCCTCTCTTCCCCTTCCCACCATGAGCACTTAGAGTGCAAATCCAGCTGTGCTCAAGAGGCACCTTCACCTGCGCCCCTGGATGTCAGCCTCCAGAACCCCGTGCACACTGTCTACATGTCAGCCTCTGGAAGGGACCGGACAGGAGCGCAGCTGGTTCTCCACAGGCGTGGGGCATTGTCCAGTCGGCCTCCTGACCCTGCATTACCTCCCCTGTCTTGGTCCTGCCTGACCCTGGCTCTGGCATGACCTGTCCCCGTGTGCCAACCACGACTGGGCCAACCACCGTCTGGGAATGAGTGTAGGACGGAGATGGGGCCCCACGGTGCTGGGCTTTGCCTGCGCAGCACTCAGAGGGGCCTTGGCTGTGAGAAGCCACCGAGGGAGCTGCAGGTGAGCAGGGGCTGTCACATCTCACAGGTGTCACGCCTGAGGCCAGGTCCCCAGACCTTCATGCAGCCCAAGAAGGCCCTGCCCTAGCACCTGGGCGGGGGTGGGGAGATGCCCAGTCCCTCTAGAGGCAAAAGGAGGCAGAAGCAGGAGGGTAAAAACCACGACAAGACCTCACAGAGAGCCGCAGCCCCCACCACACCTGTCCCCAACTCTCCAGTGCCTCCTCCTGCTTCACATGCCTGGGGCGTCAACCACAGAGCCACCAGATAGGGACGGGGCCAGTGACCCCCTTATCTGCAGCCTCGGGGACCAGCAGGAAAGCAAACAGCAGCTGCCAGGTATCCCAGGGCTGGGGGCAGGCAGGGACAGCCACCATCTTCAGGCCAGTGCAGCCCGCCTTCGAGCCCTGCCGCCAGGGAGGCTCTGGGAGGAGGCTGCCCTCTCCCGGGGTTCTGAAGATTGTATAGCTGGAAGCAGAGGACACAGCAGGCGGGATCACGCGGTCAGCGCTGCAGAGACCTGTAGCACACAGCAGGAGACGGAGGGGGTAATAAATCCTGGTTCCTGTTGTTGGAGAGGAATGCCCAGGAGACAGTGTGAACAGGTGTTTGTTGACAGGCGATACGTGCAGGTGTAATAATCCTCCACAAGCAGGAAGACAACAGAGGCCCGTGGGCAGGGCAGCGCCAGCCCCAGGTCTGGCTGCATCCAGCTCAGAGGGACGTCTTGCCGGAGCAGAGAAGCCGTAAGAGTGGGGGAGGGGAGAATCCCGGGCACTAGGGTGCTACTTTAGGGTGAAGGGGAGCGAGATGAGGCAAGGGAGGACACCACGCGCTCTAGTCCTCTCGGTAAGAGGAGGCGCTTGAAGGAGGAAAGAGCCTGGACTAAGGAAAGTGGCCTGTGCCTCCTACATCCGGGACTTGCAGCCAGAAGCCCAGAGAAGGGAGGACGCTTGCCCAAGGTCACACAGCCCCGGAGAGGTCGGAGCTGGGTTCTGCCACGAGCTCTGATGCTGAGTGGGCCCCGTTCTCTCTGAACTTTTTCCCTGGCGGGACCAATAGGCGGGCAAAGGCGTCTTCAGGTGGCACCAGCGGGGCCACCTTCCTCATAGGAGACGCTTTGCTGCCCCCTTGTGGCCAAAAGGAGTAGCACTCCCCGCCCGTCTGCTAAGAACCATTGCCCCCACCCGTGTGCAGGTGCCCTTTTCAGGCCCAGCGCTGCCTCTGCTTTGGCCCACACGCGCGAGCAGACCACCTGAGGGTCCCACCTCCAAGCCCCACACCGCGTGTCGCACCAAGCAATGCAGAGTGACACTGAAAATCGCTTTCTGAAGACCCAAAGCGATGGATGACTGGGTCACCCTCCTTCCCGACCTGGCTGACCTCTGGCCAGAGGAGTTATGGTTTGTGTCTAGTTGTCCCCCAAAGGCCTCATGCAGTCATGCGGCAGACTTCTAGACCTTGTGATGGGTTATGGGTGTGAGTGCTACTCCCAGCCTGGGGCGGATGGCCTGCAGGCAACAACGGGAGACAGATTTGCTCCCTGCTGCCCTCGTTGCCGCTACTCCTCCCATTTGCTCTAGCCATTTTGCTGTTTTCTGCGGCCATGAACTGCAGCCCCCTGCCACATGCCACTCTGCTTTGGAGCCAGCTTAGTATGGACTGAAGCCTCCACTAACTGTGAGCTAAATAAACCTGTCCTTCCTTCATTTTGGGTGTTGAGTATTTTGTCCCAGCAACGAGAGAAAGTAACAGACAGACACACCCTGTCTTAGTTACTTTTTACTCATTGCTGGGACAAATACCGGACACTCAAAATGATGGAAGGAAAGTCTTATTAAGCTCACAGTTACTGGAGGGTTCAGTCCATATTCCGCTGGCTGCAAGGCAAACAACAACAGTTCATGCGGCAGAACACAATGAAGAGCAGAGGAGGAGCAGCAGCTGCAGCGGCGTCCATCAAGCCTCTCTCTTCCTTCTGCGCTGACTGCGAAGATCAGTGCTCCACAGTGAAGATTGGAGCTCCTCCAAAGTGGTGCAGCTGCCAAGACCAAGCTTCTCCGAAGACTGGGACTTCTCCAGGAAGCAGGACCGGCGGCAGGAAGCCTTTCTCAATTCCTGGGCCCTGCCCACCTGCAGGGCGAGGCCCCCCACGCTGTCGGAGCTGATTCAGCCAAGTTGACACAATGTATCAACTAACACACTCCCCTAGGAGCTTGGCTCTGTCAGTCCACCATCTGAGACTTTAGAGTGTTTGTGTTTTTGTTTTTAGGAGGGAGTTATTTTGCATTTTGAGGTAAGGTATTGTTTTCTAGCCCAGGATGACAAACCCTCAGCAATCCTCCTGCTTCAGCCTCCCAAGTTCTAGGACTACTGATGTGCACCATTATACTCAATTTCCTGCAATATGGGATCTGGAGGCATTTTATCCCAGAGTAGACTTCAGATGACCTGTGCCCCCAGGAGCTCCAGGTGCTTCACAATGGCACTCACAGGAGTCACCAGCTACACTCAAAGGTTTATTGGCCAGAGCTGCAGGGAGCCACAGGTAACAGGCCTATGGGGCTTTCCACAGGGAAGTCACTGTGGATACACACACAGCTCCACCACTGTCTGTGACCCAGGACCCTGGGCTGCCACAGGTGCCATACACCTTGGGACCCTTAGTGCTGGCCCAGCTGGGCCTGCAGAGCCCGCAGCTGCTGGCTGTCGATGTTGTTTCCTCCACACACAATGACCACGATGGAAGCCAGAGAAGGGTCCAGGTGGCCCTCAGCCTGCAGCTGCCCCAGGCGGCCTGAGTAGATGGCAGCCAGGGCTGCCCCGCAAGCGGGCTCCACCAGCATGCGCTCATCGTCTGTAGGGGAGAGAGGTATGCAGTCAGTATTCAGCAGGCTCAGGCCCTGCAGATCCATCTACCTGTCCACCCACCCATCCACCCACCCATTCACCTACCCATCTGTCCATCCATCCATCTGCCCATCCATTCATCCACGATCCATCCATCTATCCATCCACCCGCCCACCTACCCACCTACCTATCCATCCATCATTCATCCATCCATCCATCCATCTACCCACCCCTCCCTCCATCCATCCATCCAACCCTCCTGCAATCCTTCATACCTGACCCTCTCTTCATCCATCCACCTAACCATCTATCTCTCCAGCCGCCCACCTTTCATCTTTCCCTCCACTTGTCCACACCTCTGTCCATCCATCAGTGTGGCCACAAATCAAGGTATTCATCCATCTATCCATCTCAACATCCATTAATATGTCCATTAATCAATGTGTCTGTCCATCCATCCATCCACCCATTTCTATGTCATTCATTAATCATGACCCCCTCAGTCAGTCCATCCCTCCAGCCCTTCAGTGTCCATCTGTCCATTACCAGCCTCCCCACTCATCCAGCCAGCCAGCCAGCCATTCACTCCCTGAGTATTTACAGAGCCAGGCCCTGTGCTGGGAGGACCCTGGAACACAAGGGTGAATAAGCCACCCAGCCCCCGCCTTCATGGTGCTCACAATCTAGTGGTGAGGACAGGGAAGAACCAGGCAGTTATGAGCAGTAGCCAGGGCCTAGGAGGTCCCCAGGCTCTGTAGGGTGTGGGTAGACCGGGGCCACTTCCTGGAGGAGGTGCCAGGAGGATGGCATGGCCCTGGGGCAGGGAATGCGGTGGGGAGAAGGTGCGGATTGAGATCCAGGCAGAGGCGGGGCTTGTGTAGTGACCAAGGCTGGAGAGGCGCATGGGCCTTTCCCTCCAGTGGTACACCTCCTGGCCCCTGAATGGAGTGACTCCTGGTTACCTGGCCCTGTACCAGTCAGGTGGGGCTGCTGCCTGGGGGACCTGGCCCTGGGTCCTGTGAGCTGGGCAGGGCAGGGTGGCTCACCCAGGAACCGCTGCACGGCGTTCACGGCCTCTGCATCCTCCACCACTTGAGACAGGATCCTGCACTGTCGGGCACACTCCAGGGCCTGCGCGGTCACCGTCTTGGCGCCCAGACTCTTGGCCACACTGCAGATGGCATGGGGAGCCCCAGAAGGCCAGGCGTAGCCAGGGGTTCCCTTCGTTTAAACCGGGACTAGGTCCCATCTCCGCAGTAGCTAATTGTCCCTAAGGGCGCTGCAGGCTGGGCTCTGTTCCTTTTACCCTCACACCTACTTATCCTTTGGGTGAGAAGTGTTATTGGCTTCATTTTGCGGGGAAGAAACAGACATTCAGAGAGGTGAAGGCATTGGTTAGGGGACACACAGCCTGGCATCCTGGCCCCAAGCCCAGGGTCTTTGCCTCTAGACTTGAGATCCACTGCCTGCTGGGTGTGGGGCCACACGAGCTTGGGTCCAGAGCAGTCGGTGGAGGGGTGGCCCATACACAGCCGCCTCATGAGTGGTTATTTCTAAGGCAGCTACAGGAAATGAGGCCAGAAGCCACAGCAAGGTGGGCGGGGGCGGACACGCAGGTGAGGCAGACCGCTGTGTTCACCTGCTTGGCGCTTTTCCTGGAGTGAATTAGAATCAGTTCTGGTGGGAGCGAGGCTCAGTGATAGAGGACCTGCCTCCGTAGGTGTGAGGCCCTGGGTTCCATCCCAGCACCACAGAATATTTTTTGAATATTTAAAACTAATAAATTAGTTACAAATGCAGTGGAGAAAAGGCATCTAATACGTTTAAAAAAAACATGTTCATGGTATAATAGGCTCTAGGTTTGGTGGTAAGCTCCTGTAATCCCAGCACTCAGGAGGCTGAGGCAGGAGGATCATTGTGAGTTGGAAACCAGCCTGAGCTACACAGGGAGCTCAAGACCAGCCTGAACTGTATAGCAAGACCCTGTCTCAAAAAAAGACACAAGGGCTAGGGAGATAGCTCATCAGCATAAGCACCTGCCTGGCAAGTGCAAGGTCCTGAGTTCAATCCCCAGCACCCCCCACAAAAACAGAGATCACAGAAAAAAATGTATAATCCCCAGCTTTTAAAGCCACAGAACCCATTCCTTCATTTCACACACATTTGTTGTGCACCTACTGTGTGACAAACAGATCCTCCCCCACTTCTGTGTAACTGCACAGGGGGTAAAATAGGCTGGAAAAAATGCAGCCCTGGTCAGAGCGGTGCTCAGCTTTGATGGAAGGCGTGTGACATTGACATTCTGGCTTTTCACTGGTTTTGTGGTACTGAGGACTGAAGCCAGGCCTTTGCACTGAGCTGCATCCCCAACCCTTCAAATCTACTTTTAGACTGGCTGAATCTCTCAGTTGCCAGGGCTGGGTTCAAACTCGCTATCCTCCTGCCTCAGCCTCCCAGAATTCTGGGACAGCTTTCTGTTTTCCGCTCACATATTGCTGGTCTACACTTCACTAGCTTCTCTGCCACACACACGAATGGTGTTCACAGGGCTGCAGCCCCAGGATGCCTGCTCTGTTCATTAAGAAGCTGAGCCAAGTGCGACTGTTCATCTGCTTCAAAAATCCGCACTTCTCCGTTAGACCCTCCCCACTCATGGTGGCTGGAACTCCAGGGACGAGGACCCTTCCAGGTGTCCCCATCCCGAGGCCCCTGCCTTAGCCCACCTGGTAATGTCGGGCAGTGTAACCAGCCTGCCTGCCTCCAGCGCCGCGTGGAAGCTGTGCGCCCCTCGGGTCTCCATGGCGACAATGGGCACGCTCTGCCAGCCCACCTCCACCAGGCCAGCTGCTACCCCAGCCAGGAGGCCCCCGCCGCCTACGGCCAGCACCACAGCTCCTGGTGGGGCCCCCAGGGCAGCCTTCAGCTCATGCACCAGGCTGGCATGGCCTTCCCTGGGGGGAGAAGGAGAGGGTGTCACTGGGCCTTGGCTGCCGTTCCTTCATCCATTCAGGCCCAGCCCAGGAGCTTCCTGGGACTTTAACCCACTGAGCCCCCAAACTTCAGAGAGAGGCGATTTCGATGCAGGGGTCCCTGCACCACTGAGAACCAGCTGCTGACATTCTGGGATAAGGGCCCTGTGACTCTGCAGCCTGCGATCTGTGTGACCTCAGGCAAGTCACTTGGCCTCTCTGGACACCCTCCACTCATCTATAAGCTGGTGTAGGGACTCCCAGCACAGGGCCCTCGGGGAAAATCACCACACTGAACAAGAGACCCTCAGCCTGCACTTGGCCCTGAGGCACAGTTCACAGAGGGACCTGGTGCCATCATCCCCTCCAGTTACACATGTGGAAACTGAGGCACAGAAGTCCCATCATTCCCAAGGGATAGAAGTGGGGTCCAAACTCCTGCCTATCTGGGTCTGCAGCCTCCTACCCCAGTCCCTCCACAAGCCCCACCCTTACCATATCAGCGGGTGGTCAAATGGGGGGACGTTCACCCAGCCGTCCCTCTGCGCCAATGCGTGTGCCTGAAGGTTGGCGTCGTCCCACACCTGGAGAGAAGCGAGGCCCTCAGGCGCTCGGCAGCCGGGCTTTGCAGGGGCGGGACACAGGTGGGGCTCCCAATTGCCCAGCTGAGCCCAGACCTCTGTAAGCCCAGAGTGCCCTGGATAGGGACAGATGGGGCTGCTACATGCTGTCCTGATCCCCAAGGGACCCTGCCCACTTCTAACCAGTCGGCAGGGACCAAGTGCCTCACACCAAGAGGTCATTACAAACTATGCTTATGAAAACCAGCAATCAGAGCTAGGCATGGCAGTGCATGCCTGTGATCCCAGCCCCTGGTAGGTTGAGACCCGAGGATTGCCGAGTTCAGTGCCAGCCTCGGCTACATAGTTCATCTCAAAAACACGAGGAAAAGAGAAAAGAAAAAAACAAACTGAATTCCAAAGTGTAAAGCCCGTAGCCTTTCATCCACCCACCCACTCCATTGTCCTAGAACAAGCAGAAGAAAATCCCTACCAGCACCTCCCCTGCTCAAACTCCTCCCTTGGCTCCCCATTGCCCCATCTGTGCTCAACACCCCAACCCACACACACACAGCTCAGCCCATGTCCCTTCCTGCTCTCTCCTCCCTCTCCTTCATCCCCACTGGGAAGATCAGGTTCTCCTTCAAAATTCAGCTGGAGGACCCTTGTTGGGGCCTTACCTGGGTCCCCTCTCTGAGTCAGCCACAGGATGAGTGGATGGATGGATGGATGGATGGATGGGTGGATGCAGAATAAATGGACAAATGAGTGGAACACAGATGGATATGAAGTAATGGTTGACAGAAATATATGAAGGATAAGGGCCAGTCAGATAGCTCAGTAGACTAAAGCACCTGCTTAGGTAGGGCACAGTGGCCAGGGTTCGAACCCCAGTGTGCCATGCCAGCCCCGCCTCCAGGGCATGCTGAGACAGCGATTGAGACTGGGCATGGTTGTGTGCGCTTGGAATCCCAGTGCTTGGGAGGCTGAAAACAAGAAAATTACCACAAATCTGATCTAGTAGTAAGACTCTGAACACCCTGTACTAAATACAAAAAAAGAAAAAGAAAAAGAAAGAAAGAAAGAAAGAAAGAAAGAAAGAAAGAGGGAGGGAGGGAGGATAAATGGGTCAATGGACAATGGGATGATGCATGGTGGAGGATGGATAAAGGATGGGTTGGGATTAATGTGCAATAAGTAATGGACACATGGAGATGGATTCAGGATGACAGGTCTATGGATGGGCAGACAGGTGGGTGGATGGATGGGTGGGTGGGTGGATGGATGGGTGGGTGGGTGGATGGGTTGGTGAATGGGCAGGTGGGTGGGTGGATGGAAGAAAGTAAGAAAGGAAGAGATAGAAAAGCTATTGGATGGGATGATGCACGAGCAGATAGATGGATAGATGGACAGATAGGTGGATGAAAGTAAGAAAGGGAGAGATGAAAAAGCTATAGGATGGAAGGATGGTCAGCAACAGATGAAGAGGAAGGAAGGAAGAAGGGCAAGAGAGGAGGAAGTACCCAGGAAGAATCTGCAGGCAGGGCAGCCCTGGTGTTGCCATTATGCGGCCTCTAGTTTAATCCTGAGAGGTTTTTCAAGTGCTCCCTGTTCTTTGCTGAAGTTTCTCCTCCCCCTGGATGTGCAAAGGTGCCATGCCTGGGTCTCTGCTTCTGCAATAACTGTGGGTCAGTGACCTCTGGCCCACTCTGTGGGCCATGGCCTCTGTCCTGCTGGTGTGGCCCCAGTGTGAGATGGTACAGCCACCATTCTCAGACTTTTATTGGAGACAGGGTCTTGCTATGGAGCTCAGGCTGGCCTTGAACTCGCAGAAATCTTCTTGCCTCAGCCTCCTGAGCGCTGGGATAGCAGGCTGCACCCCCATACCCAGCCCTCCTACTCCTTGCAAATGTTAAGAAATACCAGAGTCTGTGAGAACACAGGGCACACTCTCCCACTGGTCACCGGAGTCCTGGGTTACCCTGAGGTCACATGGCACAGGCAAGCGGGAGGTCCTCAGCCTGCGCCCACCCTCAGCTCCGCCATGCTGAGAGCAGAGTGGGTCCTGGCCTCGGTTCCCAAGGGGAAGGGAGTGGGTTCCCGGGGTGGCGGCCGGCCAGCCAGACATCTCCCCCGGGCCTTACCTTTCCGGCCAGCTGCACCTCAGCGCCCTCACCCTGCAGCCTCCTCACCACCTGCTGGGAGGTGGCCTCAGGCAGTACAATGGTGGCCGGGAGGCCCAACCTCTGGGCACTATAGGCAGCCGCGAAGCCCGCGTTGCCCCCTGGAGAGCAGAACCGAGTCACTTCAATGCTTCCGGTGACAACGCCCTCCCGATCACGTGACCTACAGTGAGCCAATCGGAGAGCTCAACCTGGAGACCACGCACTACAGATTCTAGGATTCTAGGGAGGAGGGAAGCTGCCCCAGTCCTTCTTGGGACTCCTGGCTACCACGAAGGCTGTATGGGAAAAAAACTCGTCCAGGGGAAAGAAAATACACGAGGAGAGATACGGGGAAGACCGCCTGGATCCAACTATGCCTGAAAGCCACTTTCCTGGGACCTGTCTGCGCTTGAGGCTGTAGTGTAAACCTGCATGAATTCAGTTTCTGGCCGCTTCTGCTACCGTGAATTCTGGGTTGCAGGAACGGGACAGACACAGTGGCCATCTGAGACAGTGGCCTTGGTACAGCTGGCCCTTAAGAGAAGCCCAGGCCCTGGACATCTTATCTCTGCCCACACCCCTGCCGGAGGACCCAGGAAGCAGAAAGGGGGTCACCTGAGGAGCACACCAGGTGTCGGCACCCCTTCCGGGCCATCTGGGGAGAGAAGGGCAGAGCTGGGGCTCGTCCGTACCGCTGTGCCGGCCACCCGCGCAGCCTCGCCGGCCGCCCGCGCCCTCACCTCCTGGCAGAAGCGCCCGATGCCGCGGATCTTGAAGGAGCCGCTGGGCTGCACGTTCTCACACTTGAGGAAGACGGTGGCACCGGCCACCTGGGACAGCGCCCAACTCCGCAGCAGAGGGCTGACCGTGTGGAATGGCTCGCTCTGCGCCCCCTCCATGGCGACAACTGTAGGGACACGATGGTCACCGCTCAGGCCGCTCCAGTCCGGAGCCCCCGGCAGAGACCCCCTCGGGAGGGATCTGCCTTCCCCTGGCCTCAGGTTCCCCATCCGCACGAGGAGAACGGGACTGGACGCTCTTCAGTCAGTAAGTGCGGCTGAGCACAGGGCTGGGGACACATGTAGACCATGATGGAGGAGGGAACTCGGCCGTTCCTGCATTCCTTCACTCCCCTGCTAGCTCGCAACGCGCTGGCGGAGCACCTACTACTCGTAGCAGGTGCAGAGCCCGGGCTCAGGAGTGGAGAAGGCAGGGGAAGCCTTGCGGGCCGAGTTTAAGTCCTGGCGGAGGTGGAACGGCAGAACTGACAGGGAGGGGAGAGGTGTCATAGAAGACTAGGGAAAGACATGGCCTTGTTAAAATTTTTTTTTAATTGTTTTTTTTATTTATTTGAGAGAGAGAGAGAGAGAGTGTGTGTGTGGCCAGCTCAGCCCACCAGGGGGCGGGGCTGGCTGGCATGTGGTGCTGGGGGATTGAACCGCGGTCCCTGATGCTTTGCTAAGCTTGTTCTAAGTAGGTGCCTTAGACCACTGAGCCATCTCTCCAGCCCAAGACATGGCCTTGTTTTGTTCTTTTGTTTTTTCCTAGTACAAGAGATTGAACCCAGGGCCTTCACACTGAGCTACATGCCAAGCACTTTTTTTTCTTTTCTTTTCTTTTTTTTTTTTTTGACACAGTGGCTCACTGTGTAGTTCAGAATGGCCTTGAATTCACTTAAGTAGCCCTGGCAGGCCTCAGACTCATGGTGATCCTCCTGCCTCGGCCTCGCTGAGTGCTGGGATTACTCTGATGTGTGTACCACTAAGCATGTTTTTTTCATTTTGAGCCAGAGTCCCTCCACAAATTGCCCAAACTGGCCTTGAACTTGTGATCCTCCTGCCTCAGCCTCCCAAGTAGCTGAGATTACCAGTATGTGAATCACAACATCCAACTCAGGAAAGAAACTTAAAAATGTTCTGTTACACAAATGTAAGCAGGACAAAGGCACGGGGACTGGTGGGACCCAGCTCCTACCTAGCTGCCATCTGGCTTCAGCCATCGGTTGGCATCTCCTGGTCTAATTGGTTTCACCCATATCAGTGTGCCCTTCCGGTGTGATTGAATTTTTTCCATTATTATTGCTATCATTTTTATCATTAGTGTATTTTCCTCCTGATTATTATATCTGTAAATGTAATAATAACTCTGTAATATCATCCAAAAGCAAAGAATGGGCTGGGGTTATAGCTCAGAGGTACAGACCCTGCCTGGCAAGCCCAAGGTCCTGAGTTCAAGTCTCCGTGTAAATAAATAAATGCAACGAACATTTGTGTGTGTGTGTGTGTGTGTGTGTGTGTGTGCAAGGTCTCACTACACAGGTTGGACTCATAGGGATCCTCCTGTTTTCAGCCTCCCTAGTGCTGAGATTACGGGTGTAACCACCACCATGCCCAGACTCCATCGATGGCTCAATGTACCCTGGGGGCGGGGCCAGGGCAGCATGTGGTGCCAGGGATCAAACCCTGGCCCCTGCATTTGCCTAAGCAAGTGCTTAGTCTGCTGACCTATCTCGCCAGCCCTGCAAAGAACTTTTAAAAAAAAAAAATGTAGTCACATGAGGCTGGCCAAAATGACACAGGCCTGAAATCCCAGCACTCTGGGATGCTGAGGCAGGAGGATCTCAAGTTTGAGGCCAACCTTGGACAATTCAATAACTTAGAGACTGGGTCTCAAATAAAAGAAAACAAACTGCAACCACGTGGCTTCACAACTCTAGACATCTGTCCAAATTCACTGAATTCTGCATTTAAAGTGCAGTGATTTTATTGTATGTAAATTATGCCTCAATGATGCTATTTTTAAAATGTAATAATCACAATACCATTATCACATTAATAATTCCTTCATATAATCAAATGCCTGGCAATTAATTCTTTTTTTTTTTTCTCGTCTTTTTGAGATAGTGTCTCGTTACTTGGTTCAAGCTGGTGTTGAGCTCACTTTTTAGCCCAGTGGTGGCCCAAACTCACAGTGATCCTCCTGCCTCAGCCTCCTGAGTGCTAGGATTACAGACATGGGCCACCACGCCCCACTAATGTTGAATTCAAAAGTTTAATACCCTCAATAAATTCAATAAATGGCTGTTTTTGTGGCTGGTGGTAGGACTTGGGGTATTTTTTAAACTTGTTTCTGCAGTGGTGGTGATCAACCCAGGGCCAAACTCACACTGGGCAGGCACTCTGGCACTGTGCTACACTCCCAGCCTGGGGTAGATTTTTTTTTTCTTTTTGAGATAAGGTCTCATTAGATAGCCCAGGCTGGGCTTCAGCTTTGGACCCTCCTGCCTCAGCCTCCTGAATGCTGGGGCTCTAGGCATGCAACATCTCAGCCAGGCTGAGGTTCTTCACAGGTTAGCTGAGGGTGCACATCTGATGGGTCATAGTGTGTGGCTGTGGTGGCTCCTCTTTTTTGATCTGTGAGATAAGGGACACAGCAAGGACCCTCGCACAAAGCGGTTGTACAAGGGGCCACCGGAGTGGGGGAGGGGAGAACAGCATGCGAGGCTGGACCTGCAGTTCCAGCGCTGGACTCCAGGGGACGCTCCCTGTTCTTCCTTCTGCCCTTAGTCTGGGCTGGGTTCAAATCCAGAGGACCAAGTCCAGGGGTCACCCCTGGTCCCTAAGCCTGTACTCCAGCCTGGACTGGACCTAAAGTCCAAGAGCTCAGGCTTTGGTGCCCCACAGGGACCAGAGTTAGAAACTAGCTCTGGTTCCTTGGCTGTGTGATCATCCAAGCCAGTGTCCCAACCCCTCTGTGCCCATCTCCTCTTGTGGAAAATGGGGATAAATACGGCCCCCAACTCACAGGTCGTAGTGTGGGTAATAGTCGAAGCTACCGTTGGGTCAGTCCCCACCATGACAGACAGCTAAATTCATTTATCTCAGGGGACCAGGTAGGGCTAGGCAGGCTCAGGCCAGCAGGGTTATTAAGCACCTGCAAGTGCAGGCCCTGAACTAGGAACTGAGACAGCCACCGCAGAACGGGGTGTCTACACTGGGGCTAGCAGTCCCTGGGAGAAGCAGCATTCACTAAGTAACTGGAGAGACAAACAAAATAATCGCGGATGGTGAAAACTACGAAGGAGTAAAACACAGAGAAAGGGAGATTCAGTACAAGGAATGGAACTCAGGTCGCCGACCATGTGCTGAGCTCTGTCCCTGGCCCGAGAAAGGAAGTGAGAACAGATCTCCTGGAGGAGGCTACCATTAAAACTAAGAACTAGGAAACAAAATAGCCAGGAGAAGCGCTTGGTGTCTGCGTGCGTGCGTGCGTGCGTGTGTGCGTGTGTGTGTGTGTGCGCGTGTGTGTGTGATCGTGGGCGGTACTAAGCGAAGCCCCAGGGCCCGAGTGCTGACCAGCACCGCTGGTGGCTGTGTGGGTCCCTTCAGGAGCTAGGCAACGTGCCCTGCGCCTGCGTCCCGCCTCATAAATCTGTGATTGGCTCCGTTTACAGACCCGGAGGCCGGAGGTTAATATCTAAGGTCCCAGGACCGCGGTGCCGATCTGCGATCCTCCCAGAGCGTATCGCCAGTTGTCCTCCGGCCCCGGGGAGGCCGCGGTTAACCGAGCGGCCCCTGCCCCGTGGTCGCCGGGCCATGGGCACCTGGGTCCCCCTGCCGTGGCACCAGCGGCGCGGAGACTGCGGCTCCGTCACCAGGAAGGTGTTCCCTCGGCCTGAGCCCTCCCACAGCTCCGCGACGAACAGCGCCGCCCGGCGTCTCACCGCCCTCCCGGGTCCCCAGGGCGGCGGGCTCCCCGGTGCAGGCCGGGGATCCGGGATGGCCCTGGGCCGGCTGAGCCCCAGTAGGCCGCTCCTGCCCGCTCTCCCCCCTCGCGTCCCTCGGGTCCCTCTCGCCACCAATATCCGTGCTCACCGCCACCCACGCAGCCCGGACGTGGTCCTGCTTGGCTCCGCCCTCCCCTCTCGTTAAAGGAGCAGGCCCTGGCAGGGGAGGGGCGGGCCGGAGCCCAGCCCCCCTGCGCGTCACCTCCTGGCGGCAGACCTGAGAAAGCAAGGCTCAGAGAAGGACGCGCGCCTGGCCAGGATCACCCTGCGGGCTAGGGGCTCAGAGACCCTCGGGCCCCGCCCGGGCCCTGCTGGCCCGCGACAGCGAGCCACGTCCCCATAACACCGGCAAGGCCAGCGCACATCCGGGGTTAGGGAGTCCAGGCCTGGAAATGAAGATGTCACCGAGGGTAGTTCCGGCCCTGACCCCTGCTGGGGCATCTGCACCGCGCAGGAGCCCAGTGCCGTGGTCCAGAAGAGCTGAGACCTGCGGATCCCGGGCTTCCAGTTGCTGAAGCAGAGCCCACCATCGGGGCGGAAGCCTTGGCAGCCAGCGTGGGGTGCGGGCCTGAAGCAGGAGGCTGAGGCAGGAGGGTCACAAGTTCGAGCCCAGCCTACACAAGTTAGTAAGGCCTTGTCTCAGAATTTAAAGGGCTGGGATGTCACTCAGGGCAAAGGTTCTGGGTCCCAAGTACAGCAAGAAAAAAAAAAGAAAAAAGAAAAGGGTGGGGGAGGAAAGGAAAGGAAAGCAGGCCATGAAGAATAGTGGGACTGAGACAGTAAGTGACTTGGGGGGAGGGGCCTGTGACCGCAGTTACATCTGCCCCAGTTCAGAGTCTGACCTTCCTCAGGGCACTAGGGAGCCATAGAAGACTCTAGGCAGGGGAAGGACCCAAGAGGTCCCGCCCTTATCTCTGCCCCAATCTCCCAGGGTGAACCTGAGCTGCTTGCATCCTCCTCTGAGCCTCAGTTCCCTGTAGAGCAGATGAGATCTGGTGGCATCTGGCAGCCCAGGTGCTTGCGTCCTTCTTGACTACACACAGTGTCTCAGGCTTGATGATTAACTCCTGGAGGTGAGGTCCAGGCCCCGTGGCCAGGACTGGGAGGAGGACTCTGGCCAGGTGACCTCAGCCCTCACAGTAGCACACACCTGTCCCAAGGCGGGGACACAGAGTTGGCAAAAGCCAGCAGATGAGGTGGCCCTGGCTGGCAGAAAGGGGAGAGAAGGACACTGGGTCTGGTGACAGTGTGGACCCTCGGGAGGACAGGTCGCCACGGGCACAGGGCAGGGCAATGTCTGAGCAAGCACAGTGCAGCCTTAGCCAGAACACACGGCCACCCCTCTGCCGCTGCCGCTGCCGCTGCCGCTGCTGAGCCCTGTACTCACCTGCATGCCCAGGGCTGTGACAGTGGGTGTTCATTTCTGCATGCACTAGCAAGCTGATTGTGCCGAGGGTCCACATGCGTATGTGCATGTCCACACTCATATCTCGAGACAGCAGCTAAGGCAGGTGTGAAATTTAAGAAGCCCAGCGCTCGAGGAGGCTGAGGCAGGAGGATCACAAGTTTGAGCCCAACTGGGTAGCTTAATGATTTGGACAGACCCTGTCTCAGAAAACCACAGCACCATCCAAAAAACATAGCAAGCAGTAGTAGGATTTCTGGCAGGAAGAGGCAGCAGGCCTAGGAGCTGGAACAGAGACCCTGGGCCAACGCCCATACAGAGCCGCTCTGGGTGACCCAGCTGTGTGACCTTGGCTGAGTTTCTAACCTCTCTGTGCCCGACCCCTCCAGCATGAGGAGGGGTGAGACACTGCTTCCTGGGGGTGGGGGGACAGGCTTCGTGGACTCGGCTGGGCTGACGCGCACACACACCGTTGGATGGGATGGGTGGGTCATGTGCTGTGCTGATCATTGTCGCTGCTGTTGTCATCAGCGCTATTGTAAAAGGAGCGGCTTAGCGGTGCAGCCGCTGGTGATACTGGGAGTGCAACGTGCTGGTATCTCAGAGTGCTGACCCAGAAGATGGGAGCAGAATCAAGGAGGCTGAACCACGCCCCTAAGGTCATACAGCAGCAAGGAAAGGGACAGTGGGAAGCTGGAGGCAGCCAGGTCACGGCCACCTTGGACAGCCAGGCCCTGTCCTCAACACCTTGGGCTGCCCACAGCCCCTCTTGTCCAAGAAGTGCCCTTTCACACTGCTCTCCCCAGTGGTGAAGGAACAGAGGGGCAAGAGCCCCATGCCTGCACCAGCCTCCTGGCCTCCATGGTGGCCCTGACTGTTGTCACTGCTTTGCAAGACAGGAGGAGGCTGAGCCAGAGACTGGCAGCTCGGGAACTGGGGCTGAGCAATGGGCCCCAGCCTGTGTAGATAGGGAGCTCTGGGGGGCCTGGGCTGCCATACCTGGACAAAGAGGGGACACCAGAACCTCTGCCTTCTGGAGCAGCACCTCCTGAGGGCGAGACCTGGGACCCAGCCCGGGAGGGGCACAAAGTTATGCTCCTGCCCTGGCCCCTAGGCCAGCTTTTGAAGAATGTTAACCCTTAATTCATGGCCCCAACCTGGTGCAGCACCCAGGAGGCTGAGGCAGGAAGATGTGAGTTTGAGGCCAGCCAGGACTATGACACCATCACCAACAAACAAACAAAAGTCTTGATTTCTCAATGAGCTTTGACAACGCTCCTCCCAGGATGTGTCCCGGCCACCTCCACCTGTCACATGTTTGCTAATGGTGGATGACACCCCCGGGGAAAGTTCAGGGAGTCCCAACCTTGGCCATGGTGGCCACATTCAGACATCAGGGCCACTGCCAGGATGTTTGCTTGTCACCTTTGGGATGACGCAGAGCTGGGAAGTGTCGCCATCAAATTGCCCAGAGGGGACTCCATGGATTCTTTACCAAATCAATTGGTGGCCAGAAGCCAGGTGACTGAGAACAAGCAGATTTAGGTGCCAGCAGCTACAGTGAGGGCCACAGGGTGATGTGTACCAGGCCCAACACAAGGGAATCCTGACGGCAGCAGGCTCCTTACACCAAGAAAACAATCACGTAAGCGCTGGGGTGCTGGGCACACAGCACTTGGATATGGAACAATAGCTTTTTAGATAAAACCTATCTTGTTGCCACAGTGTCCTGGTCATCTCAACAGAAGTACCAAACAAAGAACCAGGGAGGCACTAGCATCGTACTACATCACCGTGGGGCCAAGGTCACCACTGGAGTTTGCTGAGGGCTGGGGTCTGCAGGCCACAGAGGGGCTTGTATGTGTAGGGGGTGCATGAGCAGAGATAGGGGTCAGGAAATGATCAGGCTAGGGAGAGGCTTCGGGAGAGAATGGTGAGGTTGTTACACATGGCAGCAGGCACTCACCCCATGATCACTCTGGGGTGGTCTTTGTTAGACGGTGTTTATTGAGCACCTATTGTGTGCCAGGCCTTTCCAGGCCTGGGGGCTTAGCAGTGGATGAAACAGGCAGAGTCTCCAGCTCAGGGTCAGCGGTGAGGGGCAGGGGGTGGGACATATATCAGGGACAAATATGTGACAAGTACTGAGAAAGAAAACAAAGGCAGGCTGGATGGTTTTAGAAGGAGGGACTAGAGCCAGATGTGGTGTCACACCTCTGCAATCCCAAAACCCGGGAGGCTGAGGCAGGAGGATCATTGTGAGTTCAAGACCAGCCTGGGCTACAAAGTGAGCTCAAGGCCAGCCTGAA